TGCTTGATCTTATCGTTGTAAACATCGAGCGCAAGCACCTTGTGAGGAGTCTCCGTCATCAGCTTCTCGCAGAGGTGAGAGCCAATGAAACCTCCGGCACCGATCATGCATATCGTAAGCGGCTTAATCGGCCTGCCGTCCAGATCCAATCTACCAACTCCGTTCGCCATATTTGCTGTGTCGGTGACGGAAAAAAACCAGAATACGCGTGATCTCTCTCTCTCTCTCTCACGCTACAGAGATAACAATGCAATCAATGGGTGGAAGAGAGATTTGTGGGGATGGGAGAAGAAAAAAAAAAGAAGATACGAGAGATGGATATTTAAAGGCATGTGGGAGAGTGAGTGATCAAGGAAGAAAGCCATATTGTAGTATAAAAAAATAAATTACTAAAGTTCCACCCCTAGTCTCACCGCCTGTATACATTAGACTATACTCGCCCCACACTCCCACGTGAAATTAATGTCTTTGTTATGTGTCATATTCTCTTCTTCTCTCAATTATTATGAATCTGACTGTTCATCTAATTTTAAAACTATGAATCATAGCTAATTATTTCAAATTATTGATTTGTGACTTGTTGTGAGTATGAACTTTTGTTACATAATTTAAGGTACACATATGTGTGTTGCTTTACACCGACACATGAAATTGTACCCGGAGCAAATATACCTATAATTGTTTTCGTATCCGTCGTCTTGTTTGATTGGTGCTTATCCGTCGGTGGCCCTAGTGTTTAGATCAAAAGTTAAAAAAAAAATGGGAAAGGAGAGAAGTGGTGGGTGGGTAAGTGAGAATTAAATTAGTGTTACATCTGTGATAAAATTACAATGATATATAAGATTACAAAGTCCAACCACAGTGGAGTGAAAATGCTAGTAGTAGAAGCTACAAGAAGCGAGCAAAAAGATGGACAAGTAAGGTTACTACTTGTAACAGGTGACAACTTCTTTTGAAACTCTCCGAACCGCTCTCTCTCCACTGTCCTGTGTTTATAACGTCTTTGCTTCGTCCCCCTCTTGACGCTGAAACGTTCACTTCCAGAGAACCTGCAATATGCAATTTCATTATCTGGCAATCTGCATCATACTCCAATGTAAGCTAGGATATATTAACCAAATTGTAATCCGTTGATTGCTTTTGCCGTGATATAGTTAACACACTCACAGTCGTATTCTGACCATCCAATCCTTTGGTGAACTAGATCGTAGACCACCACTTTGTCCTTAAGAACCAAATCTGCAGAGAAATCCAGCAGAAACTAATTGAGAAAATAGTCGCACTGTTTCACTTGATACAAGAAATCAGAGTCGTTACCGCCAAGAATTGTTATACGACGATGCGACATTCTCTGGAAACCAATGCACCATATTGAACTTCCTGACTGATGATAGCAAAAGAAAACATATCAAATTTTTCTTGGCACTAGTAGAAATTTTAAAGGTAACGGCTGATAATAAATACAAGAAAACTATCCAGATTATCTAACTGTTCAAGTGAATATAAGAACTTAGGTTACATTATACTAAATAATCAATCATGACAGTCCCAACGCCTTAATTTTCCATTTAGTTTGTCTACAAAGCTATGAAACTAATTTTTCCATTCTCCATTTTGTTTACTCTCAACTCTCAACCAAATGCCCACCAAACCCCTACAAAAATCCACACCCAAAAATATATGCGCAGACATGCTTATAAACCCATCCCTCACTAACAGTTCTGTCAAGAACTCCTAACAGCTCTAATCTGCTAGATTCAGTCTTAGGCTTTATACAGCTAATTTTTTCAAAGCATATATTGACACATTGAGACACTACAAGAGAACATATGAAGTAGTGTAAGTGTATGAGTATGCTTACACTAGAAAAAATCTGAAGATACCCACGAGGTCTTAAGACCATTGATGCCCCACCAGCAAAGCTCAAACTAACTTCGGGAAAGACATCAACGTCACTGTATAATAGATTCAAATCTTTTTAGCACTTAAGTATGAGAGACAACAACTTTTTATATATACATACAAATGAGAGGAACTTTACCCAGCTGTGATATCAAAGCACTGGTAACTCTCATAGGTAATGGGACGTCCGTATTGTGAAACAGCATTTGCAATCTGCAGGTTGAACGGTTTATTAGTCTTCTTTCTAGTAAGGTATAATAACATATATCATCACATTGGATTGTAATCTCATTTTTTAAATGTAAAACTGGAGGAAAGATACTTCAACAATGGGAAAAAGTCAGCATATGGCATATATGGAAAAACTGAAGGTGAACTGATGAAGAAAAAACACTCACAGCTTGGATAAATGGATTATACGCTTCGTCGGGAAGATAAGCAAGAGTCGTCCCCGTATCAATTATCGTTCCATCACCCGTAGCTATTGTGAATACAGATGGATCAATAGGTAAGATCTGACCGTTCACAGCAATGCTCTGCAGGTTCACATTATAATGTGGCCTGAAATTTTTTTGCAGTATATTATCTGAATCAAGACGTGGGTTTATATATTTTAGTTTTCCTATCCCAAGATAAATGAGCTACATGTTCTTTCCATGAGACAGACACAAAAAAGAAAGTCAATTTCTGGATAATATGGTTCCTACAGAAGAATGTGATAGCAAAAATAGCAACAAAACTCGCTTTTCTATCTGAGTAATGATTTTCATAATCATCAGTCAAACCCTAGATCTACCTCATTGGCTTGTGAAAACAATTTCGGGTAGTACTACTCAAAACACAGAAGTCTAATTCATTGTAATGTAAAGTACCCACAAGGTTTAAACGGTACTTTTATTTACATAATATGATAACAGTTGACGAGTATAATCGCAAGATTAAGAACTCACTGTGATGGAACAAGAGGGGTATAGACAGTATCTGGCCTCTTAATTTGACCTAAAACCATTATACCTCCACCGTTTTTATCTCCCTTCAGGCAGTGAGAGAATACTCGTGGAGCAAGTCCTTGCACAGCAAGCTGTGAAATTACAGATAAACTCCCTTGTCCTAAGCCAAAGATGCCATCTACTGCTCTCCTAGGCCTCTGTAAATCTCCAGTTTGTAAATTGCTACACCTGTTAGTCAATATTGAAGACAAGCTTAACATATTTTGAAAGTTGAACCACAGAAAAGATGATTTGGAAGTTAGTTCATATCCTACTTCATGAGTCGATGTTTCTTGAATAAAAAACTAATGAATGTATTTTGAAATACAGAAAAATTGTTTCTCATTTGGCCAACATTTTCTCCCCTTAAGATGCTGTCAAGACTCAGGAGTCCAAAGACCAAGGAAATCATCATGGAAAGGGAATTTAAAATGCAAGATAAGAAATATGAGACACGAATCTATATATACACACAGTTCTTTTGCTGCTAGCTTACCCGAAGACAAAGGGAGCAGAGGAATTTATAGCCAATGTACTGGTGATAACAGTATCAAAGGACATGAAATCTGAGATGTAGTAACCAGAAGTGCCACTTCCATCACCATACTTAAACGAATAGGAACAAAGATTGTTGGGAGAACAGCCCGATTCTGTCTGGAAATTTGAGTAACATCTCCTGTCTGAACATGAAACTAATGATGCTGAGGATGAAACTCCAGGATCAAAGAAACTTAGCTGAATCTGGAAACCAAAAGAAACCACAAAAGAGAGGCAAAACAAAAGCTTTTAGAAGTCTACCTCGTCATAAAGATTTAGTCAAGCGCATGTGTAAGAACGCCATAAAGGAAAGTTAAGAAAGATTTATACTTGTAATTCACTGGTCTTGGGGCAGCCGTTGCAGGAAGTGCAGCTAACCCATAAAACATCACTTCCAGTGTCAATCTGAACATTGAATTCTCTTGGAGGTGTCCCAAGTTTAACCTTTGTGTAGTAAAGCCTGTCATTAAAGGAAATATGACGATAAGATTCTAAAATAGGAATGGACAAGAGTCAAAAGACACAGTCAAAGATATTTCTAAATCCAAATTGAACACAGATTCGAGAATGCTGCTAATTAAGGTTTAGAAGAGCTCGGTCTTCACAAGCCAAAGCAAAGTTCATTTATTTATAATACTACTATTTGATTCAATCAGGTTTGGTGAAGAATGCCTCTCATCTTGAAAACAGAATCGAATCTCATTACTCAGCCTAACCAGAAATAAATTAGTTCACTCGATTTACTTTTTTCGGGAGAAAAGTTTTCAAATCCAAGTCCGGTAAATGTACTACGGTTCGGAAAAGGTAAATTTTATCTTTGAAAACCAAAAAAAAGAAAGAAATTTTCGAAAAATGAAATCGAAAAAGTGCATAAGCAAATGGGTACCCAACGAGAAACGGATCGGAGGCTCCATCAACCGGGAAATTAACAACACCGCCGACGGGAGACTGCAATAACCTTCCATGGCGAGCTGAATCAAAAGCCCTGAGCTCAGTCAGACCAAGTTCGTGGTTCGGCGGTATCAATCTCTCCAGCTTGAGAACCGCGTCGGAGCCGCATACTACCATGGTTGTGGCAGCATGTAAAAACAAAGTAGCGATGATGATTACTCCAGCAGGAGTATCCACCGCCATTTCTCGAGTTCGAACTTTCTCTTCTGGGGAGAGAGAGAGAGAAAGCCGCCAATTGAAACGTTCTGATATATTCTGATGACAGTACTAAAGTTTTGCACATTTCAGTGATTAATTTAATTAAACATGGAATGAAGCTTTGCATACATTATCCCTTTTTGTTTAGATATTTTTTCAAACTAATGTGTTTTTTTTTTTTTTTTTGGGATTTCTCAAGTTCAAATGTTCAATTCTTTTTCCTTTTTATGTTTGTTGTTGAATAAAATTGAGTACTAGATAAAGTAGTGACTGATGTAATGTTTCTATGCTCCACCAATATGACGCGTCTAAGCACGGATATTTTTCGTTGACCGACCATTGACCTACCTATGGCCAAAAAATTACCCACCTCACTCAGAAGTCTACGCAACGGCTTTGCTTGGAACTTAAAATTACACGGCCTTTAACGAAGTAGATGTTTTGTTTTGTTTCCATTTAAAACCAATTGTATCAGAAAAAGCATTTTAGGTCATTTAATTCTCAGATGAGTACAAATAAGCAGATATCTGAAAGAGAAATACATAAAGACTGAAGAGTGAAGAGTAAGCATTGCCCCCTATTAGTCCAAACGTCGAACACCAATATAAATCGGACAAAGGAGTCTCTAACTCTCTATTACTCCGAAAGTCCTGACTACACGAATTGAATCATAAAGAGATACTTTATTGTCTTCTTCTTTGTACCCTTCTGAAAAATCAATTGTTCCACATCATTCGTAAGTGTAAAAGAGGAGCACTTGTCTTTTTAAACAGTCTCCAGTTTAAGCAGCGATCTGTAAATGTCATGAAATACCCTTTAGATGTTTTATTTAAATACGCAAAACTATATCAAGAAGGTGCTTTGACAAGATGCTGCTCAAAAAACTTTTGCAATTCTTCCCTATGAAACATTCCAGTAACAGTATCTTATAAGTTACTTATACCAAACCTGCACTTTCTATGTGAACGTTTTTCTCCTTCATGTTATTGAACTTTTCGGATAAGTGAAGGCCTAAAGAGAATTGGGTGTTATGATTTAAATACTTTAAAAGCAATCATTTTGGCTAACCTCTCATTGATCCTCCAAGAGAATTTTGGTGCAAGAGAGAAGTTGTGATACTTCCTCTGGAGTTGCTGTTCCAAAACCTTGCCATCTTATTCTCCCGGATTTGTCAAGTAGGAGAATATACCTGACACATAAACATATATGTGCAACAGAGAGATAAGAAAATAATCTACTATGCTTTCTTAACTTGATAAGGTGGAGATTTTCTTTACCCAGTGAGAAGGTTCAGAACTTTAATTTGTTTACGGAAGTTATAATGGTCCCCAAACGCATAAACAACCTGCCTCTGGAGGACATGGTTCTCGCTATTTTTTGGTTTTTGCAAGACCCGGAGAAGAAGTTTTTTTATAGGGGATAAGCCCAGCAGCCATTTGTCTATAAATGAAACCTATAATTACAAGAAAACAAGTTTTCCTGAAGAGAATGGGAGGAAAAAAAAAAAAGCTGCCAGATAAAGCACTTATGCTGGTTCTAAATCTGATCTAAATGTGAATAGCACAAAATGATTCAGGAACAGTACCTCAAACAACTGAAGATCTTTCCTGTTGCCAAATGATTCAAGAAATGGTTTGCTCCACGAGCTGATCATTTCCTGTCACGTGTAGCAACCAAAAACGCATCAAAAATTATACAAGCTAGGTATATAATGTCATACTATGATACTAATCAACAAGTGGTTCCCTACTTAAGAACACTGTATCATGCAGCCACTGATTAGTAACCTTAACAAGCAACAATTCCGTTAATGCTTCATAAAGGCTAAGAAAACACTCTCGATTCCATTAAAGTATATAGGACAAACAAGGTAGAAGTTTCTGAGTACCTGAGAGCTTGCCCGAAAAGACAGACAGACCAATGATAATTTAGGAACAGCCAAACTCTCCGTGTTGACCTCATTGTTGTTGGAAGTAATAGGCAATGTCTGGCTTTCTCCATTAGCAAAAGTCACTGCTAATGCCGGAAATTTCATGGCTGAAACAGCAGGAATTATAGTCTTATTTGCAGCTGCTATCTGCAAAAACACCAGTTGACAATGGAGGAATTCATAAAGCCAATATAAGGTCGGTATCAAAATCTAGCACAGCCAAGGACAACGAAATATGAAACTGAGTTCCCAAAACTGAGTTCTACTATGGCTAGTGAAAGCAATCCACCCTTAAAACTGAAAAATTTTGCTGCTACGAGAAGACAGAATCTGGGGTCTTTGATTTTGACTCCTACCAAATAAGAGACAGAATGTAAGAAGTTGCATCGTTATACCTTACCGCCATGTTCCCTGAATTCTTTCATATCAGCAAAGTATCCCCGATTCATCTCATCATTACTGCCCTAAACCACATCATACAACGCAAATTAACTTCTCATTGAGACAATTCCTTTAAACTGAGAGCAAATCAAAGCTAGAATACGAACTTCAATGGTGAATCTATAAAGGAAATGAATCTAAATAAAGGGGAGCTTACAGTCTAGCACGTTCATCCTCAATTGCTTTCTTGTTCCCGAACTGCCCAAAACAGCATCGACGGATAATGGTCAGTCGACGATTCTTCCGATAAGCGAAATTGACAATTTCTGAATAATACCTTGTAAAAATCGAGGAAAGAGCGGGAGGTTGATCGAAGAGCTGGCATTTGCGTAGGGAGAGAGTCATGATTCTCGTAGCGAGTGGAGATGAAGAGCCCTTGATGCTGGTTTCGATACGAGAAAGCAGAGACTGATCTATGCTTCAGGATTCGAGTCAACGTAGTCGCCATTTGAGAAGAGCTTAAACCCTATTTGGTTGAAGCAGCTAGAAACTGTGTTGTAGAAGAACAAGTCTTGCTTGTTTAATGCAAACCGAACCAACACGCTTGAAATTGTAAACCAGCCTAAAATCCTAAACCAAATAGTTTTGTTGGCTCAGACGATTAAACCGACATTCTGATCCGGTTTAGCCATATCCCCAAAGGCCGCCCAACTTTGGGCTTTCGATATTTCTTTGGGTTTCCAAGATTCAAATACTCCAAAATCCAGATCCGAACCGATTATTGTAAAATTTATCCATTTTCTTTATTTAATCGTATTAAATGCATACGAATATGTTAAAGTAAAACTGATATTACTAGAAAATTAATAACAACTAGTGATGGACCCGCACGTACGTGCGGAGTTATTTTTACAAAATTACGATTTGTTAAGTAGATGTTATTTTGGTAAAATTTTGTTATATGGCTTTATTTGATAAACTATATATAGACACACATTTGTAAAATATAGATATTGTATTATATAATACAATTTTAAAATTATTTAAATGAAAATGATAAATGATATTACTTGTTTATTTTTTAAACTAATCAAAATATTTCACTGTTTGCTTAGAGATGTTAAATCGGATTTGGGTTTGGCTTTAGTTTGAAATGTTTTATGTGTAGTTTAAAATGGAAACCCGTCCTGTCCCTTTCCGTCTTGTCCTGAACCGTCCTGTCCCACCCGCCCCGTCCCGTCTTCTATCTGTCATAAAATTTATGTCCCGTAATCATTATAAGAAACTTGGTAAAATATTTAGACGGGATATCCGTATTCCTAGTTTAAATATTTATTTTTATCAAACTAATAAAAATCTAATTATCAATCTAAGTCACATGCTCCCACTATTTTCATTCACAAGGCATTGTCTGTAATCCTAGCATACACAATCCTTGTTCGATTTTTAATTTTATTGATATTTCCGTTTCATCTTTATTTCTCATTACTTTCTTCAATTCAAAGATTCATGTTTTAGCCTTTTTGTTTTCTAAAGATTTAGGTATTTCTATTTTTCTAATACATGGATTTATTGTAGTTTTGTTATCCGAAGTATACGTTATCTTCTTGTACCCATCATATCATGTCTAAATATTTGAAATAAATAGGAAAGTGGAAATTAAATTTAGCAATTTAAATTACATGTCCCCGTATCATACTCGTAGTTTTATATTTGAAAGTTGAAAGTGAATTTAACTTTATAACCATGTCTCATAACAATTATATCTGATCATGTTCTTTTTTATGAGAAATAATTCAGATAGTGTTTGTTTTCGAAATATAAGTTCCCGTCTTGTATCCATTCCTATAAGTTTATATATTTTTTAATAAATAACACCATTTACATGTAACTAATATTATTTTCATATATGTAAAATTTCATATAATCGTCCAAAAGTAGAGATTTATACGTCCCAATGTTGAATTTTGTACAATATTTTGAGATTTTGACAATGCTTTATTTCTGTCCTAGTTGATGATGATTCGACAAATTAAATATAACTACCAATTTTTTTTATTTCAACCGGTTATCCAAAACTTATATATCATATTTTTCAAGGATAGTTTAAAATTGTATGTATATGTGAGATAATGTTTGTAGATATTTATTTATGAGAATTTTTGAGAAATACCCCTTTTGGTGTACCCCTTTTTAAAAATACCCCTTATTTATGAGAATTTTTGAGAAATACCCCTTTTTAAAAATACCCCTCTTTTCTATCCATTTTCAAAAATACCCCTTTTCAAATATGAAAAATTATAAACTTTTATATGGTTGATAAGGTACATCAAGATCATCTTTACTACAACATGACTAAATTCAAATATTTATAAGGTTTAAAAAGGTTCTAAACGGCGTTTATAAGGTTTTATAAGGTTTTTATAAGGTTTTTAAAAGGTTTACAAAGTTTTTATAAGGTTTTTAAATGATTTTGAAAAGGTTGTATAATCTATTTATGAAATATATATTTATAAATTTACACACATATAAAGATAATTTGTGTCTATAAATATAAGCTTATACATATTTTTTTGATAAATTTCAAATTTTATAGTGACTTTTTGATAAAATTAGAAAGAGGGGTATTTTAAAAAAGTGTTATTGGAAAATGGGTATTTTTGAAATTCCCCATTTATTTATTATATCATACCAATTTGACATTTTATTTGTTTTCAATTAGATTAAATCATAAAATATAATCCATTTATTATTTAAAAATTGGTAATAAGTCGTTAAAATCATTTAAATGTGATATATCCACTTGTTATTTAGTTTTAATCTTAATACAAATTATATATGTTTATAATCTCAAAATGTAGTTAATGATTTGATAAAACAATTATTTAATATTTGATAATAGTAATTAGCCCTGGGCATTCGGGGGCCCGTTCGGGTTCGGGCCGGGCTTTTCGGGATTTCGGGTTTTCGGGTTTGGACTTCTAAAGCGCATTCGGGTATAAATATATTTTCGGGCGGGCTCGGGTTCGGGCCGGATTTTTCGGGTTCGGGTTTGGTTTTATTTCGGGTTCTAAGTAACCAATAAAATTTTGATCAAAAAGCAGAAATTTTAATGTAATCTTGGAAGCTATAAAACAAAGAAACCATAAAACTAAAAATCTATAAAACTATTAAGCTAGCTTTTTTAATATGACCAAAAGCTATAAAACTAAGACTGACTTCACGTAAATAACCAAACCCACTAACCTTTACAGAAATTTTTGTTTTTTAGCCAAAATAGAACTTATATATTCGATAATATTAAAGATAGAAGTACAGAGAACTGTATTACATACGATCACATGGAAGCCTTACGGTTCACCTAACCAGTAAACACAACTCTATACTTTAGCCTTGCGACCTAAATCAAACGGTTCATATATAGAACTCCAGAAAATAGAAAACCAGCAAAACGAGCATGTGTATGTATATAAACCCACTTTGGTACAATGTCACGTTCATGCGTTCCCTTATACACCCCAAATTAGATTGAGTCAAACAAATTATTTTAAACACTTATATTTCTTGCAGGAAGTATCACCATCTCCTTTATATTGAACACCATTCACGACAGGGCACTCAGGCACTCCTTTATATTGAGCATGAGTTTCCTTAC